AGCTGAAAGAGCTCACTCCAATTATTCATGCATTTAGTCCTTTCATGCCCTTGAACATTGCAGGGCATTTATCAACAATGTACAATAATTAATTTCTATGTTTTTGCCAAGAAGGGAGATTATCCAGGTTATCAGCAATGGTTTTCCCGCTCACCAACTACTATAACTTTTCTAACGAGAAAAAATTAATTAAAAGACTGTATCCAACTGAAAAGCTGCTGCAATAACCGGTGAGTAAAAAGTTCACAAAGATTCATTTGTCTTACAGAACAGGAAGTTCTGTGTTGCTTATAATTTAATGCTACTTATAATGTCATGTGTTACCTATACACATACTTACTTACTTTCATTCCTTTTCATGATTCCTTTTTTTTTATTCATTCCTTTTTACAGATTTAAAGTTTTAGCATATAGGAATTATTAGAATAATCAGGAACCATTACAGCATGTAAAGTCCCTTTCTTACATTGTTCAGAAAAAAAATGTAGAAAAGAACAGTATTTTTTAAGAAACTAACATAAAGGGACAAAAAGTAAGTTAGTGTCTCCATTAAATCTGAGTCAGGACTAAAATCCATAACATTCACTCCAATAGGAATGAAATTGTGATCGCAGGAGGATTTGCAATAAAAGGTACCTGAAAAACATGTACTTTCATATATTTAACTTTTGCTACTTGAAACATTGCAAATAAATTCTTTGGAGAGATAAAATCTCCTAAGACAAAACTGAAAATTTGTTCTTGGAAAAAATGCTATGAAAAGTATTTTCATAATTTGGCACAGTTGATAGCTATTTAAAAACAGGTTCGCACTGGAAAAAAAGGTCTCATTGGTTTTTGTCATATACTTTTTTGTACCTTTGAGAACTAACAGTATAAATAATATGCCACATAGCAATGCAATAGAATTTATATTCTATATTTAAATTTTAATGTACTGTGTCTTTTATATAACAAATAGTATTATTTATTACAAATCTCATGGCTATGAAGTGCAGTTCAGGCCTCTTGTGCATCATTTTTTAACAGAAACAGACATTCATATGCCTCTTTAGTAATAATACAAAAGTGAACATTGTCTGACAGTTTGTTAAACCACGACAGTTCCACACTGTCGCTTACACAGTTTTGCTGTATGAAGAGCAGAAGCATCATATTCACTGCTGCTTTTGAAAGCATTTTACCATTCAAATTAACTGAAAAATAATTTCAGGGCTCTTGTGAGAGCTCCACGTTAATGTAAGTCAGCTCATTGTGTATAGCAGCCCCAGAAATGTTTCTGAGATTTCTCCCCCCAGAATGCATTATTGGATTCACGTGGAATGACTGACTGATGATGGTTCCCCCTCACTCCTTTACATGCTCACAACTCACTAGAACTGTGAAACCAGTTCAACCGTCTATCTTAAATCTCAACAGCTGGATTCCTAAAACTATTTTCAGAGTAGCTGATTTTCTCACCTACTGGGTATTCAGTTGTCACTTGCGTGGAAGAACATCAACCTGACTGATGCAGCCCTGTCTACAGAACTGCACCTTTTTCTCTGTGACTCATTTTGTACACCAGGATGGTTTTACTATAATGGCACATGGCTCAGACTTTCCAGTACATTCAGTACATCTGCGGTCACGTCAGGAATGTATGTCATAATAGTTTCTCCATAGTGGTAACGTGCACTCAATTTGCAATTCCTGTGGAGGAAAAAATCTAGACAAAAAGATAAATATCAGCAGTGACACACGAACAAGTATATATCCACTAGATAATCCCAATTCTAACTAATAAACTTTTTTCAGGAAAGCTGGTAATTGTCCCCAGGATAAATGCTCTGGATTCTAACTAGATCCGTCAAGCATACATTCTCCAACAAAGCTTGGAAAAGCATGTGAGGTTCAAGGAATTTTTGGAGGAGTGATAATTTTCAACTCAGAAAATGTGGTGGATATAGAGTATTTAGTCACAATCTGACAAAAATAATCAAGAGAAAATTTTGTTTTGGATTGGGTGATACTGTGCTAAAACAAGCAGGTATAGCAGCCAGACCTTATTTTTGCTAGATACAAGAAATAACTAAAGCCCCAAAAGAGAATTACATCATCACACAAAACAAATTATATGCAAGGCATATGTGGGCAAGGAGGGTTTCACTGCATGTAATCTGGAGACATTAGTCCCCAAAAGAAACGACAAAGTTAAGACATAAGCGGCCATATGCCAAGGACATGCTCTTGGAATTGCCAGGAACTGAGCCCTCAGAAGAGCGTGAAGATCGCTTTGGGCTGAGCACTATGTAAAAATGGGTTGGAACAGCGAACCGACCTGTGTGTTCAGAGAAGTAAATTCTTTCAAATACACAAATTGCAGAAAGAAATATTCAACTACAGCCTAATTTATTTCTGTAGGAGAAACAGCCTAGTGAACCTGGTCTCTCACCTTTTTCAGTCATAGAGGAATCACATTAGAACCATTCTTTTAAATAAAAAAAAGTCAAAATATTCTCTACAGTCTATCATTCTACATGGAAACAATTCATATCCAAGCATTATGCACCACAGTTCATTAAAAAATGAATTAAAAATGCCTTTTGTTTTATACAACAGGATATCAGAACTGCCAATAAGCAGCCCGGGTCTCCACAGTCTGCTAGGTAGGGGCAGTGAATCTCCCTACTGGCTCTAGGTATTTTCCCCTAGTGAGAAATAGCAAGCTTCCACTGTGTATTTCTCTGTAATTTATGCAGTTCTCTACCAGATAGATACAAATCCTGCCATACAGATTATGGAAGAATCATCAACCAGGCACTATCCTAACAAACTTCTTCTCTAGCAGTATTAAATATATGATTTTAGCCAGGAGATATTCTGAAACTTGAAAGTTTCAGAAGTCAGCAATCTCTTCTGGCTTGATCTAAAAGTTCAGCTATCTAGATTTGGTGGGGCTTTCGAACACTTTGGCCAGCTACAATTTGTCAAAATTTAATAGGCATATTTATATCGTACCTTGTATTCAGTCTGTGTACCACATATGCATGAAACCCAGGTCTCTAACATCCTGATGCTTTTTCAGAATTATACCTCATTCTGTGCCCAGTATGAGTGTGCTCAATTAATGATATGCTAGTCACTCATTGCTCATTGCTAGTTACTCTCATTGTTCAATGTACAACCCCTTACCATACATATGTATTTATGCTACAGCCTCTTACCTTATTTGTTATTTGAACCTGCCCTGAGGACAAAATTATTGTGCTCCTAATTCCTATGATGTTTATCACTATGATACCAAAGGCATCAACACACATATGGTTACAACATCCCTGTGATCTAAAAGGACAGTTTTATTCCCATTTTACAAAGGGAAGTTGAGGCATGAAAAAAACTATATGCATTTTTATAATTACTTGCTTATGGTCCCCATTTGGTGAGATCCATTAGACAATCTTAATTGTAGCATTAACTAACATTCAAAGATACACTGTATAACCTCACTGACATTTTAAAGTAGTTTTGAGTGTATAACTTCTTATTTTTTTTAAACAAAATTGAAAAACAATTTTCATCATATCATTTCTTCTTGTTTATTGTCACCCAGAAGTCATTAACAAAGTTAGAATCCCCTTCTATGGACCATAGAAGCCTCTGTCACTTACGCTCATGGGATGATGCATATCAACAGTAAAGTCTCAGATGCCAGCAAGAGAACTCCAGCAATGATGTCACTGAGAAAAAAGAGTCAGGCTTGCTGCTCTCAGGTCTGATCTCACCTAGATTTGGATCTAGAGAACAGAGCAGCAACTCTGAGGAGATGGAAATGTCTTGTATTTAGAGAGTGGCTGGAAAGCTGCCTGGTGGAAAAGGACCTGGGGGTGTTGGTCAACAGCCAGCTGAATATGAGCCAGCAGTGTGCCCAGGTGGCCAAGAAGGCCAATGGCATCCTGGCTTGTATCAGAAATAGCGTGGCCAGCAGGAGTAGGGAAGTGATTGTGCCCCTGCACTGGTGAGGCCGCACTTTGAATACTGTGTTCAGTTTTGGGCCCCTCACTACAAGGAAGACGTTGAGGTGCTGGAGCGTGTCCAGAGGAGGGCAACAAAGCTGATGAAGGGTCTGGAGAACAAGTCTTCTGAGGAGCGGCTGAGGGAACTGGGGTTGTTTAGCCTGGAGAAAAGGAGGCTGAGGGGAGACCTTATGGCTCTCTACAACTCCCTGACAGAAGGTTGTAGCGAGGTGGGTGTCGGTCTCTTCTGCCAAGTAACAAAGCGATAGGACAAGAGGAAATGGCCTCAAGCTGTGCCAGGGCAGGTTTAGATTGGACATGAGGAAAAATCTCTTCACCGAAAGGGTTGTCAAGCATTGGAACAGGCTGCCCAGGGACGTGGTGGAGTCACCATCCCTGGAGGTATGGTGACGTGTAGATGAGGTGCTTAGGGACATGGTTTAGTGGTAGACTTGGCAGTGTTAGGTTAACGGCTGGACTTGATGATCTTAAAGGTCTTTTCCAACCTAAATGATTCTATGAGTCTATGAGTGGATACATACAAACCACGATTTTTTAAAAGTTTACCTCTGGGTAAATGAGTTCTGGGCTCATTTTTATAGCAAGGAAAAAGGAAACACTTGAAATTTGGCCTGAGTATCAGGTTCCTGTTCCAAAGAACAACCCTGCATTTACTAGAGCTTAGCAAAGAAAAAGTCAGCAGAACGTTTCTAAAGGGCATATTACTTTCCTCCTACCTTCTTTCCGTGAAACAGCTCAGAATATTTGATGCAAAACAAAAAAGCCTCAAATCAGTACAAGTCTGAAAAAAATTCAGCCTGAACAATTAAAGCACAGCAAAACTATAACCAACTGACAACCAGACTTTATCACAGTAATGTGAAGGAACATAATAACAGAACCAGAAACAGTAATTTCATCCCAGAGCTTTTCCTACACAATAAAAAATACAGTATTAAATAGGAACTCATGAACATAGTGTAACAGTTAAGAATGGAAACATACACTGCTTTCCTTTTTCTTGGTGTGGTGAGAAGCATACCCTTGTAGTGGTGTCATTTTCAGTTTTGTTTTGGAATTGAGAGCACTTCAGGAATTCTGGCCAAGAAGCATTTACCATACCCAGAACTGGTTCACAGCCTTCTTTTGCTGCCTCACAAAATGTCCTGCAGGGCAAGAGGCCTCGACTGGAGAAAAGAGACAGAGAACAAAAATACAAAAGATTATTACTCTAGTAAATTGTGAAATCTTTTTAAAAAGAGAAAAATGTATATAAACACTTTTGAAGAATTTTATGTTCTACAGAGCTACACCAAAAAGGTGTCAAATCTTCATTATTCATTGAAGGTGACATCAGCTCTGGCTTTCAGGCTAAATTTAAGCCCAAATCAAGCTCAGAACAGTTTCCAAGTTCAACTCTGTGCGCTATATCACCCCCTTTTAGCATTTATGAGCTTTTACACTATTTCCCCTGAGCAGTCAAAACATACTGAGTGTCAGATCAAATGCAATAAATATCAACGTGACTTGAATTGTATATTTTTTAAGAAGAGCACTATACATTAGCAATTTTAAAAGTATAACAAGTTTAAATGCAGCATACTTGTCTATTTCTTATTCTGAGATATATACCTGCATATGTATTTCTTCTTTACATTTTACATGTACATAGGAAAACCAATTAAAATAGGTAACTATGAACTGCCTCAGGTCTACATAATTAGAGTCAACAAAGTCAAGCAAAAAATCTAGAAAATCTATTAACATGTTTACTGTAGATCTGGAAAAGGATAAAAACAGTAAAGTTACAACATTACAGGTAACACAACGCTAGCCAAGTTAGTCAAGATTTTAAAAGGCAAGAAATTTCAAAGAAGCCTCAGCCAAGTTAGTTGATATGTGGCAGCTGTAATTCAGCATAGACTACTGCAGCGTAATGCACACAGGAAGGAAGAATTGAACATCCACACATAAGAGTTCTCTGCTTTACTGCCAGCTTCCACTGACATTTTATCTGAAAACCATTTTGGTGGAGCAGAGGAAAAGCTCTAGCACGGTCAACATTAGTCTTAGCTATAAAGAAGAACTGTTCAATGCCTTTCCCAGTAAGGATCGGCACCATCTGTGGGAGCACTTCGTTACCTGAGAGCTGTCAAACAGACTAACATAAGTTACCACTGGAGCACAGAAAGCCTCTCGGTAAGCAGGTGCAATTGCATCCGAAAGTCCACACACGCAAGCAAATAACACAGCCCAAATGAGACACACTGCCTATACAAATGCTTCTCTCATCCATATGACTGGTAAGTCAAAAATACCCAGCTCTTCTTGCTGGAAAGCAGAAGCACTAAGGCAGCTAGATGGTGGCATCTACTAACACCAACCTGTTCACACTGAATAAATATCAAAACTCCAACTTGACAGCGTAATAGCCTTCCATAACCTCTAGAGCTAGAGAGTGCATCATAACCATCAAAAATTAGGAAGAAGAGAGGCCTGGATATATAGTAGGAAAGAAAAGACATTTGAGTGGTCTTCGCCAGAAGACTATGTCAGCCTTCTGGATGAGGCAACAGAAAGAAAACATATAAATGGTAAAAAAGATCTCTCATACAAGTACCTAATGCCCCATCACTACGTTTTGTCAATGTGTGGATTCCTTCCTCAAATTTACAGCAGTGCTTTTAGCATTTCTTAAAATATTATAAAAATTTACCAGCAGAAGACTGGGAAGCTAATGTACGTTCATAACTTATGAATCAATGACCAAAAAGCAGAAGTTGCATACATGCTCTAAGCAGGAAAGATCTCACTCACATTTAAAACAGTTCAAGTTTTCTCAGGCATAATTAAAATTGGGGCACTTATTCCTAAGAATATAATGAAGAAATGTAACTCTGGCTTTGACTTGCAAGTAAAATAGTATTTTTTTTAAAGCATTATTATGCATTGCTGGCTTTGCTTTATTACAAAATATGACATAAATTGAAATTTTTTTACTTAGCTTGAAATCAATGTTTTGTCATTCAGGAAAAAAGAATGATGAATTTCTAAAACATGCAATGTTTAAAATATGATTAGCATGTTAACTTAATGTGTATTTATTATATTCTTAATGATACCTCTTACTTTATAATATAATATTTTATTCTACACTATATACATATATTTTAAACAGTGAACACCAAGACTGGGAAGGCATGCCTTGTTTTTTATTCATTTTCTTATCTAATTTAGAAATACAGTTGTGAATGTCCACAGTCTTCACTGTCTATAACTTCGGGGCTATCTGCTGAGACTATCAACAGCACTGTAAATAAAGAAAATCAGAGTTACTTGTACCTAAACAATTACATCCTTTATCATAACTGTGAGCTGCCACCACCATTACCATACATGATTTTCTTATCACAACCATTAAATTTCAGAAAGATTCCATAGAGGAAGTGATGTAATTGAAGTGAATTTCAGCTAAACAAACATTACATTGACGTGGAAAGTGATTTGGCACAATATTTTGAAAGGAAACAAAACTGCTTTCAAGTGTAAATTGTCAACCAGCTCTCAATGGAAGGAACAACATGTACAGAGACCTAGAAATACATGTAATTGTTAAGTATGGCTCTCTTACAGAAACAACTAACACATTCAGAAATGCTTGAGAGAACTTCACCCATATAAGTCCATGGGACCCAAGAGGCTGCACCTAAGGGTCCTGAGCAAACTGTCCAGTGCTCTTGCAAGGCCTATCTCTGTCATCTCTGAAAGGTCATGGACATCAGTTGCTCACAACTAGAAAAAGGCAAATGTTGCACCCATCTTCAAATAAAGGCCAAAAAGGTCAAGCTGGGTAACTTCAAGCTGGTCAGCCTGATTTAGTCCCAAGGAAAATCACAGAGCAAGTCCTCCTTGAACACATTTCTGGACACAGGAAGATGATGACCGGGAACAGTCAGCATAGATTTATCAAGGGTAAATCATGGCTGACCAGCCTGATTGCCTGTTATGATAAAATAACTAGATACATAGTACTGGGACCTGTCCTGTTTGACATCTTTATCAGGGACCTGGAATAGATGACCAAGTGTGCTCTTGTCAAGTTTCCAGATGACACCAAACTGTTCCCACAATGTGGGAACAATGTTCTTGAGTGTAGAGCTGCCATTCAGAGGGACCTAAATGGGCTGGAAGAATGAGCCAAGAGGAAATTTATGAAATTCAACAAGCATGAGTCCTGCACTTGGGAAGAAAGAACCCACTGTAATGATACAGGCTAGATACTGACTGACTGGGGGGCAGCTCTGCTGAAAACAACCTGGGGGTCTTGGTAGACAGGAAGCTGGACATAAGCCAGCAGTGTGTCCTGGCAGCAAAGCAGACCAACAGTATCCTGGCCTGTATCACACAACCACACAGTCAGTATATAATGGGAAAGGATTGTCCCCCTCTGCTCAGCACTTGCTAGCCTGCATGTGAATACTGTGTCCAGTTTTGGCTGCTCCAATACAGGAAAGACACTGATAAACAACAGTGAATCCAGGGGAGGGCCACCAAGCTGGTCAGAGGCTGGAACACTCACCTGCAGGACCGGCTGAGGGAACTGGGCTCCTTCAGCCAGACTAAGAGACAGCTTGGGGGTAACATCAACCACTACACCCTTCAGGACCTATGGGGAGGTTATGGAGTCTAGCTATTCACAGTGGTGTGTGGTGGGGGGATGGGAGACAACTGACATAAGCTGAAACAAGAGATGTTCAGACAGGATATAAAGAACTTTTTCAGCATGAAATTAGGGAGTGAAACAGGTTATCCAGAGAGGTGGTGTGGTCTCCATCCTTGCATGTTTTCAAGACATGACTAGGTAACGCCCTGAATACATAATCAATGTACTTCTGCTCCACTGAAGAGACAAGGAATATCATGATAACAATGAACAGTTTCAGTAAAATGAAATTACTGATTGAGCTATTTAAATTTGGTCTGTTGAGGGAAATTCACATAGAAAATGAGAACAAAACTGAAAGAAGTATCACAAACTAATATAAAATACGGAATTTGAACTGAATATACTGAAATTTTTCATAATGTTGGGCAAACTGCAAATTCTTGATGTTACTGGAATTTTGAAACAACTTGAAGAGCTATTACAGAAGTAGTTATCCAAAAGAAAATAAATTGCCTAGCCAAGAACAATTCAGTATTCTGATATTTTGTTTGAAGTTTCAGAAATAAATACATATAAACACACACACACTTCTAAGTATCATTTTACTTAAAGTAGATGATAGTAAGTCTAGTCATTAATGAAAGTTGTCATATTTGAAATAGCTAATTTATCGCAAAAATATAAATGCATGACTCTGAATCCTTACCATATTCTTTACTGTAAGGATACACAGTCTCCTTAGTGTTTGAGAGGAAACAAAGGGCTATTTCAAGAAATAGGTCAATCTGTCACTCAGGTTTGCATCTTGGGGATCGTTGTCAGCCTGTGCATCGTGTCTTCACATCAAGCCCACATTTAGATCACACATACCACATCTAACATGTTTTCTCCCGTACCCCTACACTGATTAAATTTGCAACATGACATTTTGCAGTTTATATCTAAATTACTGCAGAACCTTTTGGGCTTTAGAAAATGCAATTTTGCTTCATTCATGACCATTCATAATGCCATGCAAAAGATCTTTTTCCTAGTACCCCACTTAGATCATATCATCTTTCTTTTTGTGTCTGACTCTTGGTTGTACCTGCCCACCCCAAAAATGTGGCTAGAACTCCATGTTCAGGCACAAGTAAGTGGCCTGTACTGAAAAAGTCCACAGTACCAAACAGTTCCCTTACTTAGTGCCTCATTTTACAGTAATAGAGAAAAACACAGTACTATTAGCAACCGTGTGATACGGCAGCAAACCCCAAAAGCAAGGAATAAAAAGCTGCCAGAGCTGCCTGACTACTAGTGGTAACATGAAGAAATTGGTGTAAAGCAAAATATTCACTTGCATAAGTATTCTGAAGTCAGTATAGTTGCCTTTCTCTGCCTAGTAGCTAACAAGAGGAATGTACTGCCAATGTTGCTACTGAGTTCATTACATACTTTAGTTGGAACCACTGTTTCAAAATAGGTATCTTTAAAGTTATATTCTCCAGGTAATGCTAAGGATTTTCACACAATGCACTTTAC